AAAGAAAAATGTTGGACTGATCACTCTTAACAGACCCAAAGCKCTTAATGCTTTAAATTTATCAATGATAAGAAAGATTTATCCGGTCCTAAAGGTATAACTTATTTCATGTAATATAGTTTTTTAGTTCCAAAAATGTAAAATTGCAGGATCTGTCCTTAATTACACTGTATAGCTTTTATATCTATTTAATCATTACAAATTAATAACGATTTACACAGTCGATAGCACTGTATTCACCCTTAGTAATAATATGAATCGTCTATTAGGCATGGGATCAAGACCCAGAGGTTGGTCTTGTTATTATCAAAGGGACAGGAGAAAAAGCTTTCTGTGCTGGTGGAGATGTGCGAGGTAAATACTAGAAATATTGTCTGATAATACAAAGACCTATAATATATATGTATATATAAGACCTTTTGCATATTACATACTAGAAATAAAGATAATTGCTGAGGAGGAGGAAGTATTAAGGAGGAAAGACTACTTGTACTTTTATTAATGTGAAAGTTGTCGCTGTTATTTAGACGAAAAGTCTTTCTGGAACTGTCAAATRAATAGCCTGCAAATGCACCTTTTTTATCATTTATTGAAACCAAATGTCAAGTAAAGGTGTCATCTGTCTCAAGCATTGGATTCCAGTGCTTTTTAAGAATGAAAGATGGGTCCTTTCATGTACATGAATTCAGCTTAAATTTTTATCATTTTTTTATCATGTAATGATAATTTATCAATAAGAGGTATTTCCTTTAGCCATAGCAGAAGCTGGTCTCAGAGGAGAAGACTTAACCAAGGATTTCTTTAGAGAGGAATACACTTTAAACTATACCATAGGTAACGAAGTTATTTTCAACTCTTGATTCACATATTGCCTTGCTTGTCTAAGGGGAAAAGGAGGGTGTAGTGCTTGAGGAAGATATAAAGGATCTGTTGTTTTTTTTGTTTTTTTTTGTTGTTTTTTGGTTGTTGTTGTTGTTTTTTTTGTTTTTTTGCTTTGAATCATTTCCACTGAATGGCATTCTTTTCTTCAATAGTTGCAGCCATGTATTCTTTCTTTTGTCAACATTCTGCTTGATGTTAATGTTGGATATCTTTTTAGGAACCTTGCAAACCCCATATGTAGCTCTTATAAATGGCATCACTATGGGAGGGGTATGTTAAGTT